TTATCACAGGGCCTTGCAGGTTTTGAGGTTTTTTCCTGGTAAAACAAAGTTGGTGGAGACCCTTAAATGTAAACCTATTTGTATAAAGAAAGTTGATCTGTTCTGTGTGTTATACTTGTGATAAATAACAGAGGCTACAAACACTTATAACTCAGCTTGACTGGAAACATTTGAGTGAAGAGAAAAATACACTGACTGGCCAGGCACCCACTAAATGCAAGAGCTGGAGGGAGAAGCTAATATCTACAACTTGCTTTGCTTTTGGCCATGTTATTAGATGGACCAGCTCAAATAGGTTAGGCCCTGAGTGGCCCAGCATTGGAGGGCAGGCCCTGCCATGCGGTGGATAGACTTGTCTGGACTGCATTGTCTTTCCAATCCAGCTGTTCCCTTTCCCTCTAACCATCTCTCACAGTTCAGCAAGAATCTAGCAACCCTTATTGCATCAGGAAGGCCTATTACAGTCTGAGAAGGAGAGGTTGTTTTATTGTCTCATGAGTAGAGCTCAGTCTAATGAAGAAGTTACTGACCTTTGGCACTAGAGAAATAAGAGCACCATATCATACTCAGAAGGGGAATGTGTTAGTATATTTACACTTGGCTTAACCTTTATCCCTTTCAGGGCATATGCACTTACAATTTACTGATGTAGAAATAAGCCTTCTAGATCCTAAAGCCAAAAGAGATACTTGGTCCACATACACATGCCTCTATGGGAAGCTTTATGCAAATTATATACACAAATTTAGAGACTGAGAAATAAATTATAAAGAATCATTTGGTGGCCAGAGCAGCAACTGTAGGCAAAGACCTCCTACACCCAGCTTGGTATGTGAGACTTCAGGGAGGCTGTGGTAACACATGCTATAGCTGACAAATCTGTGTAACTTGTGAGATATTTGTGTCATGGGGGCTTGCAAACTTCAAGCAAAAGCTGTTCCCAGCCCAGATGCTGCAGTGCTATGAAACTGGAAAGGAAAGCAAAATGAGTTTTATGTTCCTCCCCTTCTTCCTTTCTGAGGGGAAAAAGGACTGAACAGTGTTCTCTTGGGGAGGGCGGCGGGGGGGTAAGGGGGAGGAAGTGTGCTTTTTTCTTCTTCTTTCAGAAATATAAGGAGGATGAAAGGCCGTTTCCTTAGCAGAGCTGAGGGCCATGTTAGCTGTTCTAGACAACTTTTCTGGCCAGTTTTGTAAAACAGAAACAGCTTTCTGAAGCCACAATTCAGGAAGCCTCCCTGTTTCAGCAACATTTAAATTTTATGAAAGCAGTATAAAGCAATTAAGTATGTTCTTAAGGACTCAAGCAAAGACACTGCTTACTTCCCAACTAAAGCTGAGAAGGTGATGGGTCTTACTGAAAATATTATTTTTTTCTGAATTATTTTCAAGCACTTAAAATAAGCACAGTTTTAAAACAAAGTAAACAGGATTAAAATTAATTCCCCTCTCAGTTAATCAGGCTTTAATCAATAAGAATCAAAACCTTTACTAGTTCTTTAGTTAGGCATTGTCTTTCAGAAAACCTCAAGTAGAGAAAAAATGATATGTACAACTAGTAATGCCTTTCCACTCCCCACACTTTACTGAAGAAAAAGTAAGTGCAAATGTTCTTTAAGTTGCCCTAAAAGAAGAAGCAACCAATGTTCCTTCTCTTCCTGAAGGAGGTAAAGAGTATACCTCATTTTTAAACACTCCTTCTGTACTACTATTAAAAGTGTGGGCATGCAGACATGTTATTGTGCCTAGCTACTCCACAGTGCACTACAGTACTAGTACTCCAGTATTAACCACGCATGCTTTCTTAGCCTGCTGTATAAACTCATAAAACACAGGCTTGTTAACCTGTCTCCCAGGGAAGGGTAAGCTATGCTTTATTTACACAGAGTATTATTCAGAATTGCAAGTGTACTGTAAATCCATGTCTTGGGTTACTCCACGCATGTATTCACAAGTGGTGTTTTTAATAAGCCAAAAAATTTAAGACTGATCTTGGCATTTTAGGTTGCCACTCTCCCTGAAAATCTCACCATAAATATTTCTGTCACATACAAAGTCATCACAGATAGTCCCATTAACTCCTGCACTAGACCAAATTTCACTACTTGGAAATGTCAAGCTTACGCCTGCACATTCCTGTTTTCTGTGAAGATACCCCACACTCATACTGTCTTTCTGAATCTGAAATTTGCCTATTCCTCTAACCAGAGGCTTATCAGTATAGCTGAACTACATTCAGGTTTCCTAATACAAGTTTTGAGATTGCAGCAGCTTCATATTTTAGCTATCAGAAGGAAGCGGAAATTTTTCAGATGGCTCAGCTGCAAAACATGCAGCTGGGTGGTGTGCAGTCCAGACCATTTGGAGGAAACAAAGGGTATAGTTTCCCAGTATATCAGATTTGTCTGTCTGTTCAGGATTTAACCAAGGGAGTTTCAGTGATCTGGTTCACAGCTTGGACTACAAGCATCTTTGGCAGCACAACAGAATGGACAGGGACAAGCAGCCAAACAGGAGATATCTTCAGCTGACTTCACTGATGGATAGCCCATTTTAGGACTATACTACGACCCTTTGTAATAGAGCATAAATACAATTTCTTCTTCTCATTTGTGAGAGTGGTGGAGGTAATTTTAAATGAACTGATATAAACTTCTAGTGATCAGCTGTCCTACTTTAGTTGGACTTGCTATCTGCTACAGCAGCCAACAATAAACAAGTTATCAAGATGCATTTATTAAGGTGGTAAGCAGCAGAGTGAAACCATTTCCTTCAAATAGTCCTTATGCATCAAGCAAACCCACAGTAGATATAAACAGACCTGTTCATGGTTCTCACAGCTCCTGTTTGTGTTCTCAGAGCTGTTGGTTGGCTAACATCTGAGCATACAGATCCAGGTATGGGCATAATTAAAGTTATCATCTCCCACCACAGTCATGGTGATGCACATTCCAGACACAGCATCAAGATCTGGGTGCACAACCCTCTCCTGTTGCTCCTCCCGAAATTTATATTTATTCCTGAAAACTGAGCCATGAAAAATCTGAAGGGGGGTTCATAGTTAGGATATTTAGCAACATTATCTGTATAACGTTGAATGGAGCTGGGTCAGAGACAGACAACAGACAGCTCTCTGTGATCCATGCGACAAAAAACCTCTCTAGTGTTCTCTATTCACCTTAAACAGAGGATCTGAATTTTCCGGGCATACACATGTGAATGCTTATGGTCCCAGTCACTCATTTCCTTGGCCAATGACACATATGTTCTTAGGGTTCAATAGACTGGCTGGAATTCTCTGTATTTGTTCAGATCCATCCTGTCATCGCTCACCCAGGTACTTGCCTACTTACAGGCTGGTTGAGTTTCAGGCTGCAGCTTTTAGACCAACTGCAGTATGCAATGTGACAATCTGTGCATTCAACCTCAAACCTCTCTATTGTTCTGCTACATCAGCTTGTGATCCTGCCCCATTTCTCCTTTTCATACTCTGTCAGTGCACCTCAGCAGGCACAGACTGCACCCAAGACTTCAGTGAAGAACAAGGATATGGTAGGAACATTATGCAGCCCGTTTCTTTGAACAAGTGAAGCCTTATTTTTGTTTTTTCTGGACAATAAAAGAAAAACTCAGAAAAATTAACACCAGCCAAGAGATGAGCTGGGGGGAAATGTTAATGGATGTTGGGCAAATCTACAGTGCAGCTTTCCCACATTACCAACTGCATTACTATTTATAAACGCTGGGAAGATACCTTTCTGCAAACTAAAATGATGAGAGACTTGCCTACATCCCCTATGAAGCTAAATTCCCAATTCTTTACTAAAGCTGTGTAATAAAAGGTGTTTTATACAACACACACACTAGGTCAGTATCACCCCAGAATGAAATCCTGACTAAGGCAGTAACACTTCACAGCAGGGTTTTTAGCTCTGCTGAAAATAAAATAAAGGTTTGGAGACTGAGCAACCCTGGTCAGTATAAGGGGGTGGGGGAAGGGCAGCATGTGGTTTGGGGTATTTTCACCAAATGTTAAATCACACAGAATATTTCACTTGTCTCCAGTGTGAGATCACGACATGACTCCTCTGTAATGAATTCTTTATCTTGGCAGCTCTCCTGTTTTCTCCCAACAGTGCCTCCCTCTCCCCTTCTGGTCCCAGTGCCATAACATATGGTAGTGTTTGGAGAGCCACTTGGGCCTGGGAGAGGGCCTGGCTGCCCACACCTGCACACCCCCTGCCTTGCCACTCAGGTCACGCTCCAGTGCTGGGCTCGCAGCTCACTCCTTCACCTTCCTAAGGGGCACGCTGAGAGCTGCCACGGGAGCTGCCCTGTGGCCCTGGGGAGGAGATGTGTCACTTGGTGTCCGTGTGAGCGTGTGCCACCCCACCAGTCCGCATGCAACCTTGGTGAGACTTCTCCTTTGGGCAGCCGTGATGGGGGTGGCTCCTTGTCTCAAAAACAAAAAAATGATGAAAGTACGCAAAAAGCCCCAAGAGAATGCACAGAATCCATCAGGTTGGAAGGAACCACAGTGGATCATCTGGTCTAACCTCTCTGCTTAAGCAGAATTCCTAGAACAACACGGCACAGAGTTGCATCCAAACGGTTCTTGGCTATCTCTAGTGAGTGAAACTCCACAACCTCTCCGGGCAACCTGTTTCAGTGTGTGGTCACGCGCGCAGCAAAGTTTGCACTCACATTCAGGCGCAACTTCTGTGCATCAGTTTTTGCCCACTGGTTCTTGTCCTGCGGCTTAGCATCGCCGAGCAGAGCGTGGCTCCATGCTCTGACTCCCCCTTTAGATATTTATAGACACTGATGATGACCCTTCCCGAGGCTGAGCAGGCCCAGCTCCTCCAGCCTTTCCCCGCTGGAGCGACGCTGCCGGCGCGGCCGGCCCTGCGCTCCCTCAGCGGGCAGGCTCCGCCCGCGGGCGCGGTCTCCGGGGCAACGCGTGGGGCCGGCGAGGCCGCCGCCGCCGCCGCCGTCGCACCGCCATGGGCCCCAAGCGGTCCAGGTCCGACCGGGAGTCGCTGGTGCCCGGCCTGCCAAGCTGGGAGCCCGCGCTGGTGTCCGCCCGCCTCGAGGAGGTGAAGGCAGCCGAGAGGCAGAGCCGGCGGCGCGGGGGGAAGGGGGGAACGGGCGGAGGCGGCTCCGGGCGCTCCCCGGCCCAGGGGCCGCGGCTGCCGGGGGCTCCGGGGTGGCCCCGTGGAGGACTGTGAGTAGTCTCGATGTGCGGCGGAGCCCCTTTGCCCCGCGCCACCGAGCGTGGCCCTGCGCATTTCTCTGCTCCTCCTCACCTCGACACTTTTCCTTTCTGGACTCTGGGTGCCAAGTTTCGGCTCGGAGTGAACTTTTTATAAACTGCTGAACGACTAGGTTTGATGGAGGTGCTGACACAGCATTAACTGTAGCGCTGAAAATGTGATGCTGTAATTTTCCTGCCTGAGTGTGTGCAGCTAAAAGGCACTTTTTTCTTTGCTATATTTTTTTCTTTTACAGAGTGTGAGGATCTAAAGGCATATTTAGGTTTTCAGGTTCTGTGTAAGCAATTCTCATATATCTTGACTTGCAAGACAGTATTTGGTTTCAAAATAGGGTGGTAGTTTAGCAAACAATATTTATCTCACATGTGTTTATCTAGCACGGCTTCTGCAAGTGAGACAAATTGCTTCCGTGGCTTCCTTTTTTTCTGGATTCCTGTTGTGCCCTATTTAAAAAAACAAACAAACAAACAAACAAAAAAACCCAAAAACCCAGTTTTTTCTTTTAGCTGATGTGGATTTGTGGTTTTTTCTTTTAATATGCCAGCACCACTAGTTAAATATGAGGAACTTGTAATTCAGGAGGAGGCTTTTAAACCAGCTAATTGCTTATCCCGAAAAGCCACGACTGTCTAAAAGTCTCTTAAATATTTACTTGCTTTTACTTTTATTTGGTAGTTACCATACAAGTTAGCCAAACAAGACCACATTTTTAATAGCTTAGGCTGCTGTTTCCTATTTTTCCCTAGAACACAGACTTTTCAGTAGAATTCTTGAGCCCTTTCTTACTTGTGAATCTTGTCCTTACCCTTGGGAAACCTCCCTGAAGCATAACAGTGGGGAGAAGGTTCATTCGCCATCACCTACTCTGTTCCTGGTCTTCCTCCAATCCTTACTAACAAGGTGCCAATTAGTGATTACGGTTTTTTTTTTTATGGTGGTATTTATTGTGGTTGTGGATATTGTGCAGTGAATTCACTAAACAAAGTGCTTTGTATGCTCTGTTGCCTCTACACGTAATTTATTACATTTCTTAAATGCAAACCATTATATTGAAGTATTTTTAAAGGTAGGAAATAAAATGCTCAAAATTTAGGAAATGTCAAAGTTGGTATTATTCTGGACCACTCATTGAGGCAGATGGAAAAAATGTTGAATGTTCACTTAATGGGGCAAGAGTTCTGTAGGGAAAAAGTATGTGATCACCTAATTAAAGATTATCATAATGCTTATACCCATGGGGGCTGACTTGAGGTTCCTTGTTTCTGTAATTCTGATATTGTCTAACTGCTTTCTGTTCCAGTTAAGCTAATTTCACTTTCTCTGCCATGCTGTTCACAAACAGAGCCTTGGGAACTTGGGAAAAACTGTCCCCTTGAACTCAGGCTTCTGAGATGCTGGGCAGCCACTGAAATTTCCTGCTGCAGGAATGTTCTTATTCAGCTCTTACAGTCGTGGGCAAGAGCACACTCGGTGAAAAACTGTCAAATGCCACAAATCTCTTCTGAGCATGTGTGAATCAAGATTCATCAAGTGTGGCCAAATGTGGGTGTACATAATATAAATAAACATGCTCTGTAAAAGCAAATCTTTGACACAAGTATGGCTCTGCTGCCAAATTTAATTCCTTCCTCTTGAACACAGAGGGCATTGAATATCTTAACTACTTAGTCACATAGGGGTTTTTATTAAAGCATAAACATGATTTAAAAAAATCAAATCTCATTCTGCAAATAGTCTAACCATACTTTCCCTACCCACCCTACCCCAGTCATCATATAACATACAAAGTTTAAACTCAAATATATAAAGCTCAGGAACTGAAAACAGTCTGTAAAAGAGAGTGTTGAACAGCTTGAATTTTAGATCTCACCATTGTGCACAAAATTATTTCTAACTCGTCCTCAGTATTATATATGAAATACCATGTGAATCTGAAATTATTTGGGAGATGACAGGAACACCTATCAAGTAAATAAATGTCTCTCTTCATAATTCATATATAAAGAATTTTTAAATCCTTTACTTGTATCAATTTGAAAAATACTCCTTCCTTTTACTGGAGGCAAATGAAATTTACTAGAACTGGTTTTAAATTGTACCAAGTAGACCAAGTAGTGAAAATTCACATTTTAGTGTGTTTATGACTTGCACTATTTTATTCGTTCAATCTATGAAAAGCATTTTACCATGAACGGGTATACTAACTGAAATATTATTTAAATGATATTTATTAACCAAGTAATTGCTTTTACTAAATGCACTGTGAAAACTGGCAAATACACAACTTAAAAACACATACAGAGGAAATATGGGTTTTCCAGAGCCTCACATAGTTTATGTACATCTTTCTTGTTTGTAATGTGCTATGCAGAAGAACATGGAGTTGCAAACTGTATTTGCTTTCAGATATTTATCATCTATTTTGATTGGGTTCACAACAGAATTAAATTGCAAAATATAAATTAAGATTCTTAAGTAGTTTTAAACTTTGCATGTGTTAAGTAGCTAAAGGGTGATATTTGCTAAGTGAAAGGTGAATTCTGGGCAAATACAGCCCTTAATTGAAATAACTGTCATTTATTATTTGTTCTTATTAACTGGTATAACTAAGTATAGCAGCTGGAAGCTGGGTTCTGTGTTGACTTTCCATTTGTATGATTACTCTCATTTCATTGGCAATTTAGGGCCTGAAAATTGAACTTAAATCTTATGAAACCTCTAAAAATGTTCTGAATAGGATGACTCCACTTTTGATTGCTATTCATACTACTTCCTCTTCAGAGAAAAATTAACATTCTGTTGAGCTTTGATATTCTCTCACCTGCCTATGTTGTACAGCAAAAGCTCAGGCTCTTAAGAACAAAAGCCATTAGTAAATGTGAGTGTGTCAATCAGCCAGTAATGAAAGTGGGTCTGCAAATTTCTAAGCAGTCATGTCCTTCCTTAAGGCTACAAACCTCCTGATAAACATCCTTTCTGAGTAATTCTAGTCGTATTTACTGGTTTACAAGCTCCCTCATTGTCGAAAGTAGAGTGTTAGAGTTGTTACTACTCTAATTTTTCATAAATCACTAATATGTTTGATGCTCAGCTGTTTTGAGTTTGAGTTTTCAAATGTTTCTTCTCAACCCTTACAGGTAAATTTGAAATTCTGCTCTAATGAAATGAACATACTAGCTGTTGTCCTGAGGGGAAAAACCAAACAATCAAACAAAACAAACACACAGCCTGCAAAAAAAAACCAAACAACCAACCAGAAAAACAATCAAACAAAAAACAGTAAACCCCACAACAATAAGTAGCACAAAAATAAAATGACAGATACCGAGATTGTCTGGAAATGGGGGGAGGGTAAGATGGCTGCTTGATGCTTTTCTTGGCAAAAGAGATCTAGAAACTGGTACTGAAAAAATAAACAATATACCTGACTTGTTCAACTGTCTTCCCTGGAATAGCTGCCCTTTTGTGTCTAGGAAATGAAGCCGAGAAAACAAAATATGTATAAAAAGGGATAAAAAAATTGTGTGGTACATCTGCTTTTTTCTTCAACGTGAATTAAAGTTAGATATTTTCTTAACATACCTATGATATTCCAATACTGCTGTGATGAAGATATACAGGCTATGTGTACTGGTTTTTAACAGCTGAAAAAAATCACATTACAGAGGAGCACCTTGAGAGCAAAATCGTGAGAAGATGTGTTTGGATAACCATTTGCTGCTTGCATGGAGTTTCCAGAATTAGGTTGATCTTGCAAAATTGGAGCCTCTCCAACTAAGGGACACAAGGGACATAAAAATTTCCCACACAGATGGTTGTTTCTAACACTGAGAGATTTCGGTGCATTTCAACTCTTGACATGGCCAGGAGTTTTAAAACCAGGACAGTATCATTTGTATCAATGGTTGTCATTGGATGTTTTCCAGTGAGAGCAATCTGGCCTGCCTTTAATTGCAGGTTGTTTCAGATGGTTTAAACAGTATCTGTTGCCAATGCCACATTTCCAGCTTCAAATTTTTTTTAAATTCACATTTGAACCAGCATTGTTGATTCTGTGGGATATCTACTCCCTGCATTTTGGTCCTTGTGCAGTTTGTAGTGCTCATATTAAATTCTCAATTGCAACCTCCCTAGACTGTTTCCATGATTTTCCAGTAGTTATTTTTATGGTTTTTTTCTATCCTGTTCATTAAGCTGGGAACGTCATTTGAGGTAGCCTTAGGGTCACTAATCTATCCTCTTTCAGATCCTTTCTCAAGCCTTGATACTACAATAACATTTGAAAGAATAAAACTAAGTTGAGAAGCAGTTGTATATTGAGGGAGAAAATATTTTTAAAGTAACCATATACATTTTACTACTTTTCCTTCACGTTTTTATGTTGTGATTTTAGGTGGTGAGCTGTAGAAGCAGGATCTGTTTCTTCTCTGTCCTTTCAGTGCCTTGGACATTAAGGATACTGTTACAGGATTGATAATATAAAGGCAGTATTGCAAAAATATTAGATTTTTAACCTCAGAAAATAGTCTAATCAATTAAACACCTAAAACTGTGTATTTATGCTGCACATTGACTACTGACTTCAATTCATGTTCTCAATGTGCAGCTTTTCTGAAAAATGATCTTTAAGGGCTTCAAAACCAGTCAGTCTAGAAATAGAAAATAGATTACCTGCTCTTAGTGACTCTGCGAAGTCTAGACCATTATTTGCTGTGAAGATGTGTGTAACTACTTCAGATATTTACTAGTTACTTCCAGCTCCTATCCCCAGGCATTGCACATTTTTTTTAGAAAAGCAGTTTCTCTTCTTCATTTAGCACTAGGGAGGTATAGGCCTTCTCTAATAATAATTAAGTTTTTGTGCAGAAGACCTTGTATCAAGGTGCATATAATTCTGTAAAATTAAGTAAGATTATAATTTTCAACACCAGTTCAGTTATCTTGTAGAGGCTCGTCCCATATATTTTGTTTTAATGTATTAGCCAATAGTTTGCCTATAGTATAAATATTCTCATGGCTGTTCTGTGGAGCAGCTTTATCACCTTGTTTCTTTGAAGCAGAGCATTTTCAGTGAGAAGATATGGCCTGCTGATCATAATTTCTTCTTGGATAACCGAAATCTGAAGTTGGATAATTTTGTTTGCTTAAATCTTTTTTTTTTTTTTTTTAATACTCATTTTGCACAAGCAGGACCTACTCTGATGTTTTACTTTGGTGCTTTGTCACAGGTTGCTGAGAAGGTGGACACCACAGTGGAAAATTCTCCTCTCTTAGAAAGGCTTATAGTACTTTTGTGAAGGAGGGTCTCATTGCTCAACCATAACTCTGAAATGCCTGGGAATTATTACATGGGCTAGAGGATAAGAATTTGGGGAAGAAATCTGAGGATGGAGAAAGCCTGAATTGGGATCAGGTTATAAAACTGGAGGCTAGCTGAACAAGGAGACGGAGGACAAGAGCTGGGAAGCAAGTCACAGGTGGGGGAGACATTAAGACAAGTGGTGTAACTCAGATGAGGAGCAAAGAGTGGAAAAGGAAGGAAACATTAACTAGGAACAGTTGTGTCCAAGGGGTGGAAAAATCAAGGAGAGAGAGAACGATAAGGAAGACAAGTTCCACAGGCATTGTTGTTGCAGTGATATTAATCAGTGCTAAGTAGGTTTCCTTTGTGGGCAGCAAGCTGTCAGCATGTTTTAAGGAGGAACTAGAGAAGGCGTAAGGTGGGGTTTTAGAACTCTCTGATAGATATTTTTTAATATATCTGAAGAACTGCAGGAAGTTGTGGGAGAAAGCTCTGTATTGCTGCTGGACCATGCTTACCGTAGGATGTTGAGTAGAACCTGACATTCCTGATTCTTGCTACTCTTGAGCTGTCAGCATCTCTCTGTGAGAATTACTGGACTTTGTTTTCCTCTCTTGGTGGTCCTCATTGAAGTGGGGCGTGTAGTGATAACAGTTGCTCCATTAGTTCATGCCACAGGTAGATGGTTATTCTAAAGATTCTGTGTCTGCTGGTCAGCACTGAGAACACCAGGATACTGCCACATGAGAGCATTTCAATCTCAGTTCTGAGAGCCTAGAAAATTATGCACTTCCATACAATCATGGGCATCTAAATACTTCCTGTTCAAAGAATGATCAAGTTGTACTGTCCAACTCTTGGCAGGTATACAGTGATAGCTTTAATCCAGATTAGCTGCAACTCCTGTGCATGTTGACAATATTGGAATACCTGGAGCTCTTTCACAGTGCTGTGCACCAATAGGTATCTTGCAGCCGTAGGCAGAAAGACTTAAAAGAGCAAAATGAAATTCAGTGTACCTGGTGCAGTCTCCACTACTACTGCCACTTCCCCAACGAGCAGTGTCTGCTGCCCCAGTGCAGCTGGACACTCATAAATTCCACCATGTTTGCACACTCCTAGAGCATCAGTGATATGCTTGATCTCTCTAGCACTTCATAATTTTAAAAACTTGAGGTTTATTTTGTGCTGCAATAAACCATCAAAGAAGTTCATGATGTGTGGAGCTGTAGGCACCCTTTTGGATTAATTATCTGATCTGTAGCTACTTGCAGTTTCACTTAATGACCCAGGTGATCTTTACATATTTTTTATTTTTCTGAATATTCTGTGGTTAGAAAAATGGGACATACTCATGTGATGTTATCCTTTGTTACCTTAAGTGTTTGACAAACTGTTTCCAACTATGCAGGCATGCACTGTTTTGAAACTTAAGTCAGCTGTGGCTTTCTCCCATCCCAAGTCATCAGTTTCTCAAATTGCAGACATTTAGGTAGGCTTTTTACCAGCTAAGAAAAGGAACAAATGAAGAAGGAGGCTGTAAAACTGGAAGAAAATGCTTCTCTTGCCATCTGAATCTTTTTCTTAGAATGGTCCCTTTCCTCACTTTACCATAACTCAGCCCAGGTTTTGTTCCTATTCCACAAGGACTTTGTATGTAATAAAAATATATTAAAATATTCAATGTCCTAAAGTAACCACTCTTATCTTAAATCTCTTAAAATCTTTCCTTGCTATGATGCACACTGGACTTTGACTCTGCTTAGCCTGGTCCTGATTAATGTGACTGTCTTGGGACTGCCTTGATCTGACTGAATCCCTTTCCATGTTTACCTTTATGCAGCTGCACTGGTAACCATGCAGTTTACACATGCAGATATGTTTGGTGATTCCTGTACATCACAACCATTACAAATGCAGATCAGCCACCAGAAATGCTGACAAATAATACTCTAGAGTGAGATGTAGATGTGCTGGAGATAGCAACTCACTCTGTGGAAGGGATTCCAGTAGTAATGTGAAAGAGTAACCAGTAAAAATTGCTTAAACTACATAATTTTTAAGCTTTTGCGGATGAACATCACTGAATAAAGTGTTCCAGTCTTCTCTTGTTCTGCAGTTTTTGAGTGCTGAAAACATTTTTTACATTGCAGTAATGTGTATGCTACTGCAAATGTTTGAAAACTGATAGTGTTTTTAATTTACCAATATTGTAGTGTACAACTTCCCGTTGGTAAGTAATTTTACTTGAGTCAGTATATTTAGTGAAACCATGCAAGAGCCATGCTATGCATAAATATACCTTCATGAAATATCATAAAAATAATGCTGCAATGTACAGAAAATAGTATCTGTGCATTATCTAATTCACAGGATGAGGGAACTGAAAATTGTTAATTTTTTTCTACATCGAATAATCACGATAATACAGATACTCAAAATTCACTTCTAGTTTGCTACCTGAACTCTCAAATCTGCAAATACCATTTAAAAGTTAGTACATCTTTGTGAGATGCTAATGCATCATTTGACTGTGAAAAGGGTTAAGGCTGTTAGTAGGCATTTATGTTTTCCATAGCATAATGCTGCCACCTGATGGCAGAAAGAATTGGGACAAAGGAGTAGGGGCTTTTTTGGGTTGCGTGCAATTTCAGTGTGATTAATACAGTGATGTTTAATATGTCTTAAAGTGATGTAAAGCCATCTCTACAAGATTACTCTTTAAAACTGCAGAGAAGAACTTTTGTTGGCATGAGTTTTTAATACCTTAAATATTTTCTTTTGAAATGTAGGATGCCTGGAAACCTAGCATCGCTTTCATTATTGGGACCAAGATTGAAGATGAAATCCACACCCAGGCCCTGGCTCTTGCTGTGCAGGTGCCACTGCGAAAGCTCTTCAGTGTGGTAACGCATGAAGACATTTACAGACAGGTAGTCCAATAAAGTAACTTTTAATAATGAACCAGACTGTAGATGTCACTTCTAGATCCTGCCTTCTTTGGTCTGTGGTGATGATAAACTACTCCGTGGAAGTTTCAAAAATTACACTAATTCATGGAATCATTAAGGTTGGGAAAGACCTTTAAGATCATTGAGTCCACCCTTTGAACACCACCTTACCAACTAAACCACAGCACTAAGTGCCGCATCCAGTAATTTCTTGAACACTTCCAGGGATTGTGACTCTACTACCTCCCAGGCACTGTCATTCTAATGCCTTACAGCCCTTTCTGTGAAAATGTTCTTCCTGATGCCCAGCGTGAACCTGTCCTTGCGCAGCTTGAGGCCATTTCCTCTCATCCTCTCACATCTTGCCTGGGAGATGAGGCTGATCGCCACCTTCCTACAACCTTCTTTCAGGATGTTGTAGAGCGTGATAAAGTCACCCCTAAAAAGTGGATTTCTCCAGACTAAATAGCCCCAGCTCCCTCATCCACTCCTCATAGGTCTTACTATGGTAAGGACTTACTCTGCTCACTGTAAATGAAGTTTTGTTACAGACTTTTCTTCAAGGTGCTGATCAAAAAAACTCCCTCCCTAAGGTAGAGGGTTGCCCCAAGATGATTCCTCATTGTTTTGAAGTGTGAGCATAGTTTGCAAAAGGGAATAATTAGTAAAGTACTTCTGGTAAACATAAAATCTTCTCACAGTAGAATGCTTTATTTACTTGCAGATCACAGAATCTGGGGGTCAAAAGGGAAAAAAGGCTAAGGACGCACCTATGTACTATGAGGTAGGTTAGAACATATATTGCAGTGTCAGTGCTCTTTTACACTGAAGTATGTAGAGCCATGTGGTTTTGTTATACGTTGCTGAGTAAATGCAAATTTGTTGGATCTAGCTGGTAAAAACATTCAATCATCTAGATACTTAAACTGCTTTGTTTTTGTGATACCAGCAATATTTTGTTGAACTGCTGATTAAGTGATGATCAAAACATGTTTTCAGGGGTATGAGTTTCATTATTAAAGGATATGTTACGTGGTCGTATTTTGATGGTGATGTCTTAAATTACAGAAAACCTGTCATTCTTCTGTCTCAGATGCTCCCAATAATTAAAAAACTTAAACCTTCGTTTATGGGTATGCAGTCTGCTATATGAAACACTATTCTGTGTGCTAGTACCATTATAATCTCAGTTTGATGTAAACTGATTCGTCTAGTGGGCTATGTCAGCAGGGTTTGGAATCATGCTTAGTACAAAGAGTACTTCCTCCTACCCTGTTAATGTTTTATTTACAGCTTGTGAGAGGCAATAAAATCCTGTGATTAATTAGAAGATTGTTTAAAATTTTCTCAGGTAGAGTTTTACAGTCCTTACAGACCTGGAGCGTAAAGAGTTTTGGATCCCTCTAAGAAGACTTTGTTTGCATTTTATTTCTGCAGTGACTAATCAACTTTTTATGTGTCTCAGGTTTTGGTGGACTTTATAATAGTACTTTTTAGCTGTGGTCTGTTTTTCAGTAACGCCAGGCTACTATCTGAACAAGTCCCTTTGGAATTATTTACCACTGACAGGATGAATTTTATGCAACTAACCCTCTTCATTTAGGACAAGCCTCCCAGGCAAACTCAGCCTTATATTACCTGGTATGTAAAACTTCTTCAGACCTGCTTGATGGAAGGATATTTAAGTCTAGCTGTAAGCAGAATCTTTGTATGATACCTGTATTTAATTACTAAGAGCAATTTTCCTTGTGAAGTGGATACTTATTAAATTCCAGCTGTCAGTGCTGTGTCTCATTAGCTACTTACTTTACTCCTCAAAGACACTTTTTTCCTCCTCTCCTTTAACACAGAATATAAAATGCCTGTTCTGACCTTTTGCTTGGACTCAGTTTCCGTTCAGGCTGTAGCAAATTAAAAGATCGATCATGTTGCCACAGCATTAAGATCCCACCTCTCTGGGCAGAGTTTGTTCCTGAACATTCACATACATTCCATGTGCAGTTTGAGCAGTCACAGCTTTCACTGCTTCCACTGCTTCCACTAGTAAAGATAAACCAATAAAAGGTTGGCACAGAGCACAGGGTTGTGGAAAGTTCTTCTGAGAGGAGCATTTCTATCATTGCCACATACAGTTCGTTGTGGCAGGATTCAAAATGCTGCCATTTCCACAGGTTTTAGAGGTACTGAGAGATTCCTGACATTAATGATCTTTGAACATATGACATGTAGATGTGTGTGAATTTGGGACTAATGACATGCATAGTATTGTGGTTATAATGGGTATTAGTAGTAATATTATTACCTATGCCATTGGTCTTACACTTTGCATCCACTGAAATGCAGGGGTTTTAATAAATTTCAGTGCAGAAGTCTGCAGTTCCTAGAAACCAAGGACCTTTAACAAATGGCTCATGATACATTGCAAGCTAATTATATATTATATTAAAATAATTCCAGCTGTGTGCTCTAAGTTATTCCTCTTCAGGCTTTCTATCATTTTATTGTTTTGTATCTCTTATCACTCTTATTGTACAAAGTGAAGAGGCTTAGGGCAGGGTTTATAAATATGTATCTAAAAGATTTCCAAATCCAGGAGAATTGGGTGTCTAACACCTTTTCTGACTCTTACATGACTTGATGGGGGTAGGAGTCTTACTTGGTAATTTTGTACTAATTCCAGCACTTAATTGAATGATGATAGGCTGATTCTCTCATAAAGATGCTGAGGAATTAATTTTTTCACTTATATATGAAAGGGAAAATGTTATGCTTCCTGTAATATATCAACATATTTCATAATTTATCATGTACAATTTTTCTAACAAGATCTACAACTAAAAATATATGTATTTTATCAGCAAGATGTGTAATTTTTATTGTTTGCACACCTGTTTGTTGGGTCAGTTTTCTATTAAGGTTAATAGCCACATGTGTAATTAAAATATTTTGCTACTACTAAATATGATAGTGTTGTTAAGATCTGATTATTGAGAGATGCCTCTGCCCAAATTAAGGTGCAAACAGGACCATATGCTGAAGTTAATGGTACAGATTTTATTTAATAATGAATTAGAATTAGAAGAGAGAGGGGGAAGAGAGAGAGAGACAGTGTTCAAGTAGAAAATAGCACCACCTGTGGGTCCAGCAGCATCCTGCCAGTCCTTCTGCACTCTGGGCTTTTTGATAGTGGGGTTACTTTTCATTATCTCTACACTTTAGCAAACAAAGGAATTAATGCTTTTTGGCTACAAAGTTCTCTTATGCTATTTGTTAAATGATTACCTCACCTCTAATGCTGGTTAATCTGCATGCTCAGTCTTTCTCTTTTGAGTTGGTGGGTTTCTGGGATCAGTGTTCACAACCTTCCCATGCCAGAATTACCTTTTATCCAGTTGGAGCTGATTTCAGCACAGTTTCTGAGTTCTCTTTCCTTGTCTCTCATAGATTTTCCATTTGTGTCCATTATCAGTGATACATTCTTTTCCCTAGGCTTTGTTAACCTCCCCCTAGGTCTGAGATAACACCTGGAGAATATCACCACCTTTATCTTATGTTGTCTACAGTTCAAGTTTCAGGTATCTAGAGGAATATTTAGGTGGGGCTTTGGTGGTCATTGGTGGCCACAGATACCATCTCTCCCAAGCCTTGGGGTGATCTTTGTTTGACTGGTGATATGCAGTTGCTTCTTTACAGTTTGCCACAGTGGGAATTTTTGTCCAGATATGTTACCCAGGATGCGCTAGCCAGATCTTGCCTCCACCAGGCCTGGAGTTAGCACCATCCTGTCGTTCCCTTCTGTGCTAATCTCATGGCAAAATCCTTCTGTGCCCTTAACAGCATTTGAGACAGACAACTGCACTTTTTAAGTACTTACAAATGTTCTAGTTTCCAAACTTTGAATTTTGAAAATCTGTTCAAGCCTAAATTTTCCACACTAGAATTGTTCATGAGTCTGATTTTTTTTTATTTCCTCTACTTTCCCCTTGAAACTTCTGGTGAGACTGAGTTCAGGGGCTGTGTGGATTAAAGGATCTTTTTTTTTCCCTTGTAAGAGTTATTTTCCAGTTTTGTTGGACTTACCGGGGCAGGAAACAGAAAGCTGCCTTTCTGTTACCTGGGAAATCCTGAGAAGGAATCATGTCCTGTACTAATAAGGAAACAAACTGAAGCTGTGAGGTAGTGCCCTGGTGATTAAAGCAGATGGAGCCTCATCTGGTCCCTTCACATGGGTTGACTGGAAGAAGATGGATAGTGTTACTGGAAATGAACAGTTGAATAAGGGTCGTGGCCATGAGGGAGTGATTGGAGAGAGAGAGAGATGTGGAAGAGTTTTGTGGTTCTGTCAGATAAACTGAGATGCTTGGGAAAAAGGCTCACAGAAAGACGAAAAAGGCACAACAGGCAGAGATGAGAGCAGTTTTGTTTGTTTGTGGATTCCAGAATGTTGCCTTCAAAATGTGCACTTATGCTTGAGAACCCAGCAAAACTAAAATCTTGTAACAGAAGCGTCTTTCCATGCTGCGCTGACACATCTCTGGGACAAGTCATCCTGTGTAGCCAAAAAGGTGTAATTAAAAATTTTAATCTTTATTCCACTCCTAGACAATGATTAATGTGTGAATTATGGTTTCTCCTAGCAAAGTTCCAGCTATAGTTGCCAAACTGAAAAATATTATCAAATCAGATGCCAAATCCAAATTGTGTCCCATTCTCATCCTGGAATTCCATGAGACTGGAGCAGCATAAATCAGTTGTAAATAAATTTTTCTCAGCTGTTAATCACCAGGTTGACACTTAACTCTACTGGCGTCTCCTGCATTGTCAGGATGGGAGGCAGCATGAGCAGTGTGCAGTGCATTCAAGTATTCCTCCCTAGACTTACGATTCCATGAGGACAATTATAGGTCAATACAAGTTAGGAAAGATCCTGGGCATAGCAGAAATATATATATATATATCTGTGTGTGTGTATGTGTATAATTATTATTTATATATGTATAGATAAATTTATATATATATATATCTCCCATAACTTGGCGATTGGAGAAGGCATTCATATTAGAAAGGAAAAGGTAAATGGATTACTTAGGCTTTGGACCTCAGATGTATTGGAAGTGTTTGGTGCAGTTGAAAGTTTCCAGGAACTTTTTTTTTCTTTTTTTTTTTAAACCTACACCCTGCATAGGTTTAAATGATGCCAACACAATGATGCCCTTTTTCTCCCCTTTTTCTTTCCTTCCTATCCAAGACCACAGAGCTTAGGGCTGATTTTCACTGTATCGTATTTTCTGTTTCAAATAGAATTAGTTGCAGCCTTGCCATAGAAAGCTATTCTCTTTGTGAAAAGGCCTCCTTTTTTTTTTTCTTTAAGAGAACAAAATAGAATTGTTAATTATTTTACCCTCCTTTTATTTATTGTCTTTTGAATCCTTTTTTAGGGCATTAAGGAAATAACATCTTTGTTGTTCTGTAATGATCAGCATTACATTGCCAGTATTTACATTATTCTAATTTCCATTTTTTAAGTGTTGGTATGATATTTTCTTTTATTTGCTGTAAAACTGCCCTTGTTCTCCAAGAGTTGGTTAAAGTCAATACTTGGAGTCCAAAGAGTTCCTCAGCTACCTGTTTTTAACACTTTGATTATATTGTCCAAGTCTACTGATTTTTGGTATTCCAAGCTTTAAAAGATGCCTTTTTGCAACTTTCCATTGGTGCAGTTGTAAATAATTACTTTTAATGAAATGAGACAATCATATTATCTGTGGCCTTTTTCTGAATATA